ACACACACACACACACACACACACACACGCTACACATGATGGCACACGCAGACACACACAGCAAGGAACTACAGAATAACCCAGTTCCAGCCTAGACTAGACTGTGTGGAGTGGGGGAGGCAAACTTTAATAATGGAGAATGAGGAGTGGGATCCACTTAGGTTGCACACCCTCTAATCCTAGGAAAGACAGTGCTTCTCATACGTGAGCATCCTCTCAGGTTCAAGAGTCTCAGAGTGCTACAGCACCTTACGGAGGTGGAGACACATCTGCCAGATACAGGATAAGAAACAAGATCCCTCTGATTGAACTAGGCAAATGCTACCTGTCCAAGGCAAGTAGGCAGTCAGCCAGATGTAGCCTAGCATGCATTTCTGCACTCTCCTAAAAAAAGAGACCAGTGGCTTTGACCTTTATGAAGCTGACAGGATGAGCCCAACGAGAGGTCCCTGAAAGCCACTACAGTGCACCCTGGGCAGTCTGCCCACAATCCTACCTCCTAGAGGATAACTGGAGGGTTATGGGTTATTAACCTCTCCCCAGAATCCAATAATGCTGTTTAAGACGGTGTTTCCCAGGCTGGCTGTAAATCAGAAGACAGCAAATTTTCTTCCTTCTGGTTTTTTTTTTTCCCTTCAGTAAAGACAGATGGGCCCTAAACCCAGAGGTTCTCATTCAGTCGGTCAGAGACAAAGCCTACACATTTTAAAGTGCTTCACATTATGCGGCCAGGTTTTGCAATGACTATGTTAGTGGGGGTTGAAGTCATTACGTGTACACAAAATCCAGCTTAGATACTGTTGATACCTAAAGTATGAGAAGGCGCAAGGATGCTCCTGAGATAGTGTGTACCTCGAGCAACCGTGGCAATGAGTAGGGAAAGCCTCTCAGAAATGTTTATAAGTCGGGTAGAATGACAATGGGTGATGCTTTCCCGGCCCTTTCACCTCTTCTGTAATGGGCTTTATGGTTTCTTTTTTCCTGAGACAACCCTCAAAATAAACACTCAAATGACACCCAGGGCTGGGTAAGAGAATGAAGACTCTGCTGTGGCTGTTACAGGCTCTTCCGCTTCCTTTTTTTTTTTCTTTTCTTTTTTTAAAGAGTCTTAGCCATTCTAGGAAAACAAATGAGTTCTCCTGGCACATCTGAGACACCCATAGTGCCTTTCTTCAGGTGACAGCCTGAGGTGCTGCATGGTCTGTTAGGCACCCAGGCTGAAGCTGCCCAGTGGCTGCTGGGGGGCGGGACTGTACAGGGTGCGTGCCGATTGACCTGCCTCTCTCTGTGGAAGAAGGTCTTTGAGCAAAATCAATACGAAGCCTATCTGCCAGGCCATAAACAAACTCTTCAGAGCATTACACCCACTTTATGCACAGCACTTGTATCAGGGTGAGATTAGAGGATTAGGGGTTTTGTGTCAGGCAGAAATCTGGTGAAGAAGAATCCTTGAGAGTCCTGATGTTTAGCAGATAACCACACTTGGCGAAATAAACTAAGATGAAAGGGACCCTTTGAGCACTTGACCTCCAGCTCATCCCAGCTGTGATAGCTTTCCCGACAATTCAACACTGGAAACCAGCCGTGTAAGCATCCTTATCTGGGTTCACGGTGAAGAAGATGGGGCCTCAGGGTGAAAAGGCTTTGCCTCTTATTTACCGTACTTTAAAGCGCTGTGTGAGATCAACAGGGCTATCTAAAAGCATGAAGCACACGTTAGAATTCAGCCACAACGCAGCCCATCTCGACTCACTGCCCCATGAATCTTAATTTTTAAAATTACTTGACCAGTTGTGCCCCAGGGCTTGTGTAAGCTTTGCCTGCCTCTTCCATATTGTTCTGCAGTGTTCCATCCTCCCCAACCTTTAGAGTTGCAATATTGGAGTCAGATATGTGACCTGATGTTAAGATTCTCAACAAAACAAAAGAAACCAAAGGGATTATTTTGGGGAGAAGAGCCACACCAAGAATCTTCATTAGCAGCTCTGGCAGACAAGTCCATCTCCCTGGGCACACACCGTTAAATCTCGCTTCTCTCCAGCACCAGTCTCCGAGCTCCGCCACTTCCACCCTCGTGCCTTTACAAAGGCTTAAATAATGCTGGGAATGCCTGTTTTCTTTCTACCTGGTAGTGTCTGAGAGTTCGTGGTCTGGGCTCCACTTCATCTTTCCTTTAAACTCTTTCTAGAACCCTAACTTTCAATAGTTAAATTATCAGTGTTTGAGAGACAAAAAAGGCATTTCCCCCCACCCCCAGTTTAGCCACTTACAGACTGCAACTCTAGGTGTTCATCTCTCAGGCCACAGGAAACAGGACTATTTTGAATAATCAATTAGTTAAGATATGCAAAGCACTTAGGATAACGACCACCACCTCTAGCCCAGTCAGTAAGTGTGAGTCATTAGCACTACTCTTGTGTGCAGCATACTGTGACCTTTCCAAGCCCCTAGGAGTGTGTTTCTCCTTTCTCCTTTTAACATTTTAACTAGTTATTTTCAGTGCAGTAATGACACTCAATTGTTTTTCCCTCTAAGGAATATTCTTAAGTTTTGTCAAAAACATCAGCAACAGAGGATGTACTCAGACATTTTATCTTTGAATAAAAGCTTTTCCCCACCATTTAGGAAAATTTATCCCTTTGTTGCTGTGGAGAAATTACCAATCCTTTGTAAACAACATGTTTTCTCTCTCTCTCTTAAGGTCCTGGAGACTGAAGCCAGTAACTGTGCACATCAGGAGAGCCCTCTAAACCAAGGGGCAGAGCACCCCCCGCCCCCCCCCACCCGTGCTCAGGTGTAGCAGACAGGAGTGAGTTTACTTCGGCTTATTCATTACAACTGATTACTGTTATTTTGTTTGTTTGTTTGTTTGTTTGTTTTGAGACAGAAAACTCATTCTGTAGATGAGGGTAGCCCCTAAGACTCAGAGATCCACCTACCTCTGCCTCCCAAGTGCTAGAAAGAAGTGTGCCACCATGCACGGCTAAACCTCATTTTCTTAATTATAGAATATAGTAGGCTTTGGTTTCACCTAGGGTGACATTTGCAACTCTGTTCTTTTTCAAGACGGATATAGTTACATTAGGTCTTGTGGTGGTTTGAATAGGATGGCCCCCACAGACTCATGTGTCCGAATGTTTGGCTCATAGGGAGTGGCACTATTAGGAGGTGTGGCCTTGTTGGAGGAACTGTGTCACTGTGGAGGTGGGCTTTGAGGTGTCATTTATGCTCAAGCCACGACCAGTGTGGTGTTCTCCTTCTACTGACTGCTGATCAAGACATAGAACTCTCACTTCCTTCTCCAGCACCATGTCTGCCTGCACGCTGCCCTGTCTTCCCAGAATGATAATGGACTAAACCTCTGAGACAGTAAGCCAACCCCAATTAAATGTTTTCCTTTGTAAGAGCTGCTGAGGTCATTGTGTCTCTTCACAGCAATAGAAACCCAAACTAAGACAGGTCCTTTAGTTTTCTAACCATATTTTAAAATGAGTTTGCCAATTTAACAACACACAGAAGGCTGTTGAGTATGACATAGTAGCATATGCCTCGTAGAGGCCAGTTAGGGTTATTTAGATTTCTAAGCCCCAATCCCAACCTAATCCAACCCAAATCTTGTTAGGCCTCTGATTGATATTGACTCTGTAAGTCAGTTTGGAGATATCTACTTATGGCAACACCAAATCTTTCAGGCAACCACATGACACACCTCTACATTTACATAGACTGTAATTTCTTTTAGCAAGGTTCTATACCTTTCAGTCTTCAGTCCCCTTCATTATTATTAATGTTATTGGTGGTGGTGCACTCAGGCACTGAGCCATGGACGCCCCGTGCTCTTCAGACACTCTTCGTCTTGTAGCTCCACCGTAAAGAGTGAACAGTCTCCCCGGCACTCTCTGGAGGTGCTCATGTTACTGTCAAAGACCATTTATCTTCTTTTCAGAATTTATGCTTCATGTTGCACTGGCTAGGTTTTGTAATGTAACTAACTGTAAATAGACAGCAAAACTAGACCTCCAGGACATATAGGAAGGAATGTTCTGGAATTTAGTCTTTAAATGTTGGCACTAGCAGGAGTTTTTTGTGTAAGCATTGCTCAGGGGAGGAAGCTTGTCCTATGTCAGATGCCTTTTCTGCATCTACTAAAATGATCTTACAAATTTCTTCATGTGAATTATACTGATTCATTTTAATATAATATATAACTTTGCATTCCTTGGACAAACTAAACTGATCATGGAGTATTAACCTTTGCACATCCCCCCCCCCATCCTTTAAGCATAATATATTCAACAGTAAAGCCATCAGGGCATAGAGTTTTCTTTGTGGGAAATTAATTATAAATTCAATTTCTTTTACAAACATTTAACACATTTTTTTTGCTAATTTTCATGTCATTTTCTTGTGTGTCTTTTAAGAAATATGCACATTGCACCTGCATTAACCTCTTTTTTGGTAGGTTTTTGAGACAGGGTTATACTGTGAAGCCCTGGCTGGCCTACAATTTAGTTTGTAGTCCAGGCTGGCTTCAAACTCACAGAGATTTACTCACTACTGCTTCCTAAGTGCTGGGATTAAAGGCATTCACTACCGCATCTGGCTGGGTTATTAACTTTATTGAAGATACTATTTCCTCTCATACTTTCAATTTCTGTAAGATCTGTAGTGATGCCCCTTCTTTCATTCCTGGCATTGGTAATTTGTATTGCTTTTCCTTTTCCCTTGATCAGTATTGTTAGGAGTTTATACTAAATGTATTGATATTTTGGAATAACTAAATTCTGTTTGATTTTTTTTCTTCTTGATCTGTATTTCAAAAAGAACATTACAGATAAAATTAAAGCCTCCTTCATTCTCTTCCTACACATCTCCTTCTATTCCCCAGCATCCCCCTCTTGTGAGTGTCAAAATGGCTATTCTCCTAAGGAATGCATATATTCAGTGTATTCAAACAATGCTGCACTCTGGTACTCTCCTGGGAGCCTCCACTCACTCACCATGTTGCCTGCCTCTGCAGCCAGTCGGGCAGCATAACGTGCTATAAGCCGATGCTCCTCATCCAGCCGGCTAGGACTGTCCAGGACACTGCCAAGGAGATAAAATCCAACAGGTGTCTATTAGACATCTCTAATTCTTGTTCTGTTCTTCAAGGAGAAAGGCTTATAACTAAGAATGATAATTATTAGTAGACGTCTGTGTCACAGATGCTAAATCTTCCCAGACAAAAGGATTCAGGAAAATAATGGGGCTGCACATACCATCCCCGTGTTTCCACATCAGCAAAGGGGCAATTTCTTTCTAAATGAAAGGTTAAGGAAAGACATCCTGCAAAAATCCAAGATAGGGATTACTAACCAAATGTTTGGGAAAAGTAACTTTATAGAGCCAGGTCTTGAACTAAAAAGAGACTTAAAAAAACTATGTGATCATAAAAAACAGAGGGCTGAGAAAATACTTAACACTGGCTGAAGGAAAAAGAATCCCAACCAGGGTTGGCCAAGAAAACCATCTAGTTGGAAAGAGTCCATGGTATTAGGCATTCCCTTTTAACACCCTTTCTCCTGTTGTACAATGTTCATTTCACACATGGGGCCAGTCTGAAGTAAACCGGTCCATCTTCCTCTTCCACCTCTCTCCTCTCATCTTTTTAGGGAGGTGGTGAGTTATTTCTGTATTCCCCACACTTAGTTCCCAATTCTCCTGCCTGAGTCTCCCCAGAACAGGAATTACAAGTGTGTACTACTGTGTCCTGCCTCATCCATTACTCTAACAATGTAAGAACCCTCGTAGATGAGGTACCAGATAATATGGTACCAGATAAAAGAAAATCAGCTCTACAAGTATAACAACTTCTTCTTCTTCTTCTTCTTCTTCTTCTTCTTCTTCTTCTTCTTCTTCTTCTTCTTCTTCTTCTTCTTCTTCTTCTTCTTCTTCTTCTTCCTTCTCCTTCTTCTTCTTCCTTCTCCTTCTTTCTTCTTCTTTTTTTGAGTCAGGCTCTGATTCTGTAGCCCAGGCTGTCCTTGAATTCACTGTAACCCTCCTTGCCTCTGCCTCCTGAGTGCTGGGATTACAGGCATGAACCACCATGCTGACTAAGAAGCTTATAGGAAACAGGGATGGATGATGACTTGACCAGAGCAATGTGAGATGTTAAGGCAAAAGAATTATATAAGTTGTGCCTGGACCCCAAAATGAGTTCAAGGACAGCCTAGGTAATTTGTTCCCAAATAAAAGGTAAAAAGAGGCCTAGCGATATTGCTCAATGGTCATGTATTTGCCTACCATGTGTGAAGCCCCCACGTCAATCCTTAGTGCCACAAAATAAAACAAAACAATTATTGGTTTATTTGTTTGTTCCAATTGACTTACAGTTTCAGAATCAGCCAAGAACCTTATGATTCCTTCAAAGCAGCATGGGGCTCATTTCCTTAGACTATGGATCAGAAAGGATGCAGTACTCATCCATCCTCTTGCTCTTTCTGAACCAATGGTCATCAATCCTTGCTCAGGGACTTGAGGATGCTAGCTAGATCTGCCCTAAACTCATGGGCTGAACTATCGGATAGCGGTCTCTGCAGTATTCTGCTACTGTATACTGCTACTGCCACAGATACTTTCAAGCACCCCGGGCAACTGCCTTTACCGACAGAACGTTACTTACCCTGCCTGAGATAAACACTTCGTTCTCAGAGATCAAGAGACTGGGACAAGAACACAGACACCATCTGGTGCACAGGGAGATTCTCTGACAGAGTATGCAATTATCAGCTCCTTTCTCCCCCGACAGGAGAAGTCCATCACACCCACCTGGGAGTCTGTAGGACCTGATTGTTCCCCCAAGACTTTAAGGAGAGCGAATGCTTCTAAATAAAGCTGTTGCTTAGTCATACTGTAATTGGAATGGTATAAAAGGCAACAGTTAAAATAGTCCTTTCCATTTATGTGTGTTTTTACTTTATTTGTCTAGTGTGTAATGTATGTGCATGCATGTGTGTTGGCAGTCTACCACGGCATGGCAGTAGAGGCTGGAGGACCACTTTTAGGAACTAGTTCTTTCCTTGTACCACCTGCGTTAGTTATCATGTTCACTTCCAAGGGCCATCTCACTGCCCCAAACAGTCCTGTCGTAGGCACATTGTCCTCAGTGACAACTGCTGAAGAAGAGGACATAAAACCACGTCTCCTCTGAGAATGTTCCAGTTTGGAACTCCAAGCATCTCAGTGTGTGGGACTCCCCAGTGTAACCAGCAGGGACTGTGCCTTACTGTAGAGGAGACTTTCTAACTCCATGCTGAGGTGAGTGCCAGGCTTGGCCAGGCTCCTTCTCTTATGGAAGCCAATGCTTTGGCAATCAACTCTGCCAATCACAGCTGGCAGCTGTTCAATCACACCACCCATGCAGAGCTTCTCCTGCTGGCAACCCCAGGAACCAGATCTCACCCCCTCCCTCAAAGCAGCCTTGGCTGCGCTCCCGGTGCTGCTGCTCTACCAACTAACCGTGTGCAGTGCTGCAGACGGGCCACATAGGAGGCTATCAGCGCATGCTCATCGGCCAAGAGATTGGGCATGTCCTGGCTACACTGTAACCTGGGAATGGTGGAAGCAGAGACAGCAAGCATGGCAGGTACAGAGGGAGAAATGAACATGGATTAACACCAGTAAACTTAAAAGTAGAAGAAACAAACAAATCACGATAAAGAAAACAATAAAACCACAATGCATAATGGAATATGGTGTTAGGTCACGGAGATCTGCCCCGCTACTACACAGCAGTCTTTTCTGTTTCTGATTTGGCTGACCGAAACATGTCCTGAAGGGAGAACCCTGCTCCCCAGTTCTGCCCCGTTACCTTTCTCCTTAGTTACCTTTCCTTTGTACTAAGGTGACTAAGCACCTAGATTCAATCATAATTAGATCTAAGGCAATCTTTTAACCAGGGAACCCCTGTCTATGTACCTGTGAGATAGTGAGATGTCTCATAGAATCTCAATGTTACTACACCTAAGTTTTTAAAAATATTTATTTATTTATTTGTTATGTATACAATATTCTGTTTGTGTGTATGTCTGCAGGCCAGACCTCATTACAGATGGTTGTGAGCCACCATGTGGTTGCTGGGAATTGAACTCAGGACCTTTGGAAGAGCAGGCAATGCTCTTAACCACTGAGCCATCTCTCCAGCCCTACACCTAATAATTTTGACAGTGCCCTAATGTCTGAAGCCCACTTGAAAAATTTTCAGATCTTACAAAATGTCCTTTTCAGTTAAAAAAAAAAAACAAAAAGCAAAAAAGAACATCATTCAAAGTAGGTTTGCACTACATTTGGTTGATATGTCTCTTTCTTGTTTGTTTGATTGATAGTTTTCTCGTTCCCCTGCTTCTGTAGTATGTTTGTGGAATATCCACATACTTGGTTTCATTGGCTGTCTTCTGTAGGGTTTGTTTTTCTAGTCTCTGGAATTACATCTAGATACCTTGTGGAATATCCACATACTTGGTTTCATTGGCTGTCTTCTGTAGGGTTTGTTTTTCTAGTCTCTGGAATTACATCTAGATACCTTGTGGAATATCCACATACTTGGTTTCATTGGCTGTCTTCTGTAGGGTTTGTTTTTCTAGTCTCTGGAATTACATCTAGATACCTTGTGGAATATCCACATACTTGGTTTCATTGGCTGTCTTCTGTAGGGTTTGTTTTTCTAGTCTCTGGAATTACATCTAGATGATTGAGTTTTTATTCTTGTTGGTTGTTCTTCAGCAACATTCAAGATGACCTCTATCACAGACTTATGGATGATATTATTGGCCATACTGCTCCGTTGTCACGTACCCCCTACAGCCCCTACAATCCTTTCATTTTATTCTTTCTGTATGTGTGTATGTATATGCGCGTGTGCGTGTGTGTATGTGTATCAAGGTCTGACTATGTAGCCCCGACTTTCCTATAACTCAATACATAGACTAAATTGGCCTTGAACTCAGAGATTCACCTGCCTCTGCCTCCCAAGTGCTGGAATTACAAGTGTGCACTACCAAACCTGAATGTTTCTAGCATTTAAAAAATATTTCTATTTTTAATTATGTATAAGTGTGTACTTGTGTAAGCATGAATTTGTGTTGCCTTGGAGGCTGAAAGAGGGAAGGAATCTCCTGGAGCTGGAGTTACAGGCAATTGTTAGCTGACCAATGTGGGCTAGTTGGTCTATAAATCCCCAGGGGATTCTTCTGGCTTCTTCTGTCTCTGCCTCTGATCATGGAGTAGATGTGCTGGGATTACAAATATGCACCATTCTATCTGGCTTCTTCATGGATCCCAGGGATGCTTGCACAGCAAGTACTTTTGTCTACTGAGCCATCTTTTTGGCCCTGAATTTCTTCTCTCTCTCTCTTTTTTAAAGCATGTGATGGACTCAATGAAAAAGTGTCCCCCATCACCCCCTGCATGGTCTCAAGCCTTTGAACACTTGGTCCCTGGTTGGTGGCGATGTTTGGTGAGGTTTAGGTGCTGCAATTGAAGAAAGTATGTCACAGGGACAGACTTTACCATCAAAACCCTCTCACCACTTCAGGTTGCTCTCTCTGCTCCGTGCCTGCATTTGCAGATAGGGGCTCTCAGCTTTGTGTGCCTGCTGCCATGCCTGCTGCTGGCTGCTATGCCTCCTGGCCATGGAGGATTCCTAACCCTCTGAAAAGATAAGCCCAAACCTCTTCCATGATCAAACACCTGGGCCACAGTGCTATCATAGCAACAGAAAAGTGGCTCATTCGATGTACGTGTACATGTGTTTGGGGGAGTGGGCACACATGCATCCTGGCATGTGTATGCCATCAGAGGACAACCGTCATGACTTGGTTCTCTCTTTCCACCATGTGGTATGGTGGCCTGAACCTTTACGTGTTGAGCCATCTAAATGGCTCCACGTCTTGAGAAGTGGTCTCATAGACCTCATTTTGTTCTCAAACTTGGTATGTGGCTGAAGCTGGTGTTGATCTCTTTTTTTCCCTGTGAGGGTTTATTTCTCTGTGTAACTGTGGCTGTCCTAGAACTCCCTATATAGACCAGGCTGGCCTTGAACTCAGAGATCAGCTTGCCTCTGCCTCCCAAGTGCTGGGATTAAAGGAGTGTGCTACCATGCTGGTGTTGAACTCACGATCATTCTGCCTTCATGTCCCAAATGCTGGGATTACAAGCATGTGCCAAACACATTCAGGCAGGCATAATTACTTCTTCAGACTAATTAATCACTGACAGCAACTGAATCAGCTTCTGTTCCAGTGGAGGAGGTGGAGAATAATCGTTTTTAAAGAATCACTCATTTTGTGCATGCACATACATGTGTAGGCAAGGGTGCCATGGTGAGTGTGGAGGTCACGGGTCAGCTTAGTGACATTGGTTCTCTCCTCTCACCATGTGGGTTCTGAGGACGGAACTCAGGTCCTCAGGCTTGGCTGCAAGCACCTTGACTCACTGAGCCATCTCAGCAGCCATGAGTAATAATTTTGCAGTATAAGCAAATGGTAATGATAATACCGTGCAGAAAGTGGATTGTGAATTGGATGGAGAGTTTTAGATTTTTAGGTTAGATGGCGACATTATGGCAAACTTTAAACAATGAGGTCAGTCTTGCAACTCTTCGGTTTCTATTCAAAGTGCTAGACATTCGGGGAACTGACCTCCAAAGAAGGCTAAAAGCATCAAGTGACCTCTAATGCTCTGGTGGACCATTATTCTCTAATACTGTCTGCCTGAGTGGAAGCCGTCCTCCCAATTACTAAGGACCAGCTGCTCTGCTGAAAATGTCTACTGTACTCTCGGTTTGAAGGCGCTCAAACATTCAGCCATACCCCTCTGTCCCATTACCAGGCCCATGGGCGTGCTGAAGAGAAGTAATAAGAGTCATCTCCATATTTGAGATTCTAAATAATTTCACAGGGGTCAAATTTTGTACCTTTGATTTCCCCCCTTGCAATAATCAGAAGATACTATTAACAACACAGATGTGAAGGCCTCCGAAACCTGCTGTAATTGGAGGTCATTATCTCCTGTGCTGAATTCAGTAATGAACTACGACAGACTGATTTCCAAAGAGCTGTTTCTGGTCTGTGATACTGCACAGTCTAATAAGAGCAGTCTGTCTTTAGAAATACACTTTATCGCTTCAACATCCTTGTTCCAAATTCATGAAGTTAAAGAGCCTGCTTGTCTCAAAAGGCCAGAGAGTGAGTATCTTAGGCTTTGGAGGCCACGGGATTTTTGCTAGAACTGTTTGGTTGCCGCCAAGGAGGAAAGCAGCCACAGACAACATGTAGTCAAACAGACACAGTTGTGTGGCAACAAAGGTTTACTTACAAAACCAGGCTGCTACCTGCAGGGTGCAGCTCGCAGTTTATTTGGCAGCTGAAAAGCAGTCTGAGGCCAGACACCTCTCACTCATTATGCCAGCACCTCTGCAGGGCTCGGGAGTCTTTGTTTCAAATTTGGGTCAATATTAGCAACCAAAGAAGCCTAGAGCCACACTGACTGGCTTGACTAGGATGTTTAAACCTACTTTCACTGTGAATATGTTCCAGAGTCCCCAGTCCCTAGGACACTATGATATGGGAGAGAGACTAAGGACAGCAGTCACACTCTTCCATGGTGACACAATCCAGGGAAGAGAAGCTTCGGGATGAGCATGCTCTATGTCCAGGGAATCCTCTCCTGCCATGGGCCAACTGCAAGGGGCTCCCAACCTAACAGGGTCAGCTCAGGATACAACATACTGTCTGTATTGTTCCTGCCAGGCCTGAGGTTGTAAATATGGCCACACAGGTCTCAGGTGCTTTTCAATTTGGTCCAAGTTTGACGGGAATGCGGTAACACAGACTAGACAACGCCCTACAAGATGAATGAAGGACAAAGAGGCACATGAACTAACTGGCCTTTGTGGTTGAACCAGAAGTCAAAATAACAGTAAGAGAGCCAATATTTAGGAAATATGGCAATAATAACAAGCTAAGTCAGAAGTCAAACGCAACCCAGTTAGATGGCTCAGCAGGTAAAGGCTACCAAGCCTGATACTAGAATTTGATCCCCAGGACCCACACGACAGTGGGAGAAAACCAACTCCCATGAGCTGTCCTTAGACCTGAAAATGCCTCTCTTTCCCCAGTACATAAAAACATAATACAAGTTATTATTTTAGGGGGTAGGGTTTGATACAAACTCTCTTTATATACTCTTGGCTGATGTGGAACACTACCTATAGATCAGACTGGCCTCAAACTCATGGAGATCTATCTGCCTCTGCCCCCTGAGTGCTGGGGTTAAAGGTGTGTGCCTCCACACCTGGCTAAAAACATAATACAGATTTTAAAAGTGCATATCAAATAAAATTTTTGTTTGGTTCTTGCTATGTAGCTCTCATTGTCCTGGAATTCACTCTGTAGACCAGGCTGGCCTCAAATTCACAGAGATCTGTCTGTTTCTGTCTCCTAAGTGCTGGAATTAAAGGCCTTTGCCACTATGCCCAGCTTTAAATAAACAAATAAATAAACGAATGAAATGAAAAGCAAAGCAGCCACTGATATGTACACTTAATTGGT